CTGTTTTAATTCAACTTTATACTGATTTTATACTGTTTTTATTTTTGTTTTATTTATATATATTATTTTATGTACTGTAGGGATTATTTAAATGTATTTATTGTATACACCAGTGGAGAGTGATCCCAATTTCGTTGTATTGTAAAGTACAATGACAATAAAGGCATTCAATTCAATTCAATAGAATGTGAAAATAAACTTTAAATAACATACTACACAGATATTACACAATAATACATTCTAAAATTTCTTATAAGTTTACCTTAAATCAGGCATAGTTAAAACTATGGATGTGTGTTTTACTTCTTTTTGCTGCTTTCATTATTACTTTAGAGTTTTTTAATACATTAACATTTTTGTTAAATATTATGTCAAATTGACGCGGGACGTCAAAACACGTGACGTAACCGCGTAACGCGCATGCGCTGTCGCCGCGATATGGCGCATGCGTGGTAACACATACGTGACGTACGTACGTGACGTATTGTATATACGTGACGTCACCGCGCTACAGTCTGCAGCGAGGAGTACTTGGCAATTCCCCCTCTCCCCTGCCGTGCCACACCCACTCCCTCCCTTCTTCTCACAGCCATCCACGCCCATTTAAGTTGCATTTTTCAAAAAGATTATGAGCTAGACTTGAGCTGATAGAGGGGGGTTTCATGACCCTTTAAAAACAATTTTGACCGCTTCCAGCACCCATACCGTAAGTACACGATTAGACGCGGATACTAAAAAAAAATGTGCGGCTGGCTTGACCGTGTATTTTCAACGCGCGGCCCACTTGACCGCAGTGTTTTTACGTGCATATGATACGCAGTTTTCGCGCGCATTTGATACGCACTTCATTTGCCTGTAATACACACGCACCCCACACTACTAATTCTACCCAAACGTATAATACACACGCACCCCACACCACTACTAAACCTACCCTAACCAACTCATGCGTATCCTATGCACGTAAAAACTCATTTTCGCGTATAAATTACACGATAAACACACTGCGTGCTATAGAGACGCATTTAGTGTGATCGGGTTGGCACACTTATGTTTGTGGGCGGTAAATGTTTGTTTTTTTCATGTGTATGAAAGATCTTATGCTCACCAAGACTGGATTTATTTAGATAAAATACAGTTAAAACAGTCAATTTAATAATATTAATACAAAAGTAAAAAAAATAGCGGATTTCTATTTTAATATATTTTAGAATCGAATTTATTCTGTGATTTTTCACAAGATCCTTCAGAAATGATTCTAATATGCTGATTTGGTGCTTATCATCAATGTTTAAAACAGTGGAAACTGTATAGTTTTTTTTCTCCTAGGATTTTTTTTGACGTTTCAAAATAGAAATGTGTTAAAAACATTCTTGACCCCAAATGGTAAAAACAGCAGACACACCAAAAAAAAAAGACCAGCTGTATTTTTTAAATGTATTTTATTTCATACTATCATGTCACATTTTCGCTTCAACATGAAATGCATCCTGGAAGTGTTGAGGCTGTGAAGTCGTTGTGTGCATATACTGTACTGACTCCCACAGAGGTGCAGACATTGTCAGATAGTGACATCGAAGTGTTAGTCTGATACCTAAAAGCAGCTGTGGTCGTGTTAGTTTTGCGCGTTTATGACGGTGTTCATAAAAGTGCATTTAAAATCATGCGGTAGAAATCGACCAATTTAACAACCTACGAATGAAAGATATAAAAGTAAGAAAGCCAGAGCTAAGATGTTCATTCATGCATTAAAGGCAGTGAGACTTTGGCAGTGTAGTGCTGCCCTCTGTAGTCACTACCTGAAATTGGCTACTAAGAGGAAGAGGAAGGACTGGAAGTTTTTTTTTTTACCGCATTGTGAATGAATACAATTGATTCCTGCTTTCCCAATCCGTTTTCTTTGGAAATCATCATGCATTAAGAGCCAGAGACTTGCGCATCTGCCCTTTCTGAGTCATTCTCAATCGATTTCATACAGCCCTTGATTATCTTGTCAGCAAAGACAAAACGAAAAGCGGAGGGATGATCAGGTCAACATTAGAAATGATTAATAGCTCAGATCCTCTACAACACATTCTTAATATATTGAATTATCACGTTAGTTTCGGTAGCTGGTCTAGACTATGACAATGTACTTCACGTCTATGATTATAACATATGTGACATTCATTTGCCTTGCATTTACTTCTTTTAAGAGAATGATTTGAATAGCTTTATATGCTACTGGCAACGTCTGCTTTTCACCATGAACGGATATTTTGTGCTTTATGGTGCTAAATATATTGACTGTTTCACACCAAGACAGTAAAGACTAAATACAGAGAGCTAGTGTACTGTTTTGTAAATGAAGAGAACAATTTGAATGTACACTATGTAACTTTTTTTGTTCAAAATTAATATTTAAATAAGTCACATCATCAATACTACTTCCAAAACATCTTACCCTAATTCACTATACTTAATCTCTTCGTCCCGTGAAGAGGACAGGGTTTTTGACCTATACTGGGACCAGCCACCTGGGGGCGATCGAAACGTTTTGGCTTCACTTTTCAGGACTTGTGCGGCACACTTGGTGTAAACAGGGCCTAAGCTCAACCTTAACAAATGCCCCACCCCACTAAATATCACTAAACCTCCCCTTAATGATGCTATAATCTCCACCCCAACATCAGCCGCATCCTTCGAAGGCCGATTGCGTCACCGCTGCGTGACGAAAGCTCCTTCAAATGCCTCTTTCGTTTCCCGTGAAATGAAGGATACAACAGATGCATCCTTCGCAGCCTTGCCTACCCCAGAATTCATTGCGCGCCAGTGAGGACAGAAGTTTAAAATTTTTTTTTTTTTATAGAAATTGCCGAATTACATTTTTAAACTTAAGTATTGGGTTTCAACTTGCTCAAATATCCAATGATACAAATGTAAAAAAGAACATTAAAGTGGTTCAAATGTTGACTTGCACCTTACTAAGATGCGATTATATATAGTTTATACTTATATACAGAAATGGAACATGGTGAACAAAACATATATAGACTGTTTGTGAACCGTATTTTGTTTTCAGACAGTTTAATATAACTTTCAAAAAAGTCTAGTACAAACATTACTGTCGCTCATCAACGGCAGCTGTCACAGTTGCTAGGCGGCAAGAAGTAGGCGAGACCGTCCCATTTAACAACGCTCAGTCCGGCCTTTGAGGGATGCAGCCTTAGAAATGGGACACAGCTTGAGACTGCTGGTCTGGCGCATAGTTACAACGAGCAAGAAAGGTGACATGGAGAACGCTAAATCTCGAACCTCCAGTCTGCTGGAAAAAAGAGAACGTGACGAACTGAGGGATTTGAAATGTTGTGGCGGAGATGGCGTTTTATTACTCAACGGGTAAGGTATTTTATTGAACAGATAAATTGCCATGTAGCTCTCTAACAGACTTAACTGTAAAGCAATATCTATTGTGAAGGGTCATATTCATATCCGAAGTCAAGCATATCCAAAGCACAACCAAAAAATATTGTTTCTCAAAATGCATGCAGTTTGTACTGCTAGAGGGCCAAAAGTTACATAGTGTACCTTTAAGTGAACTATTATGATTCAGTAAAAAAGTTTTAAAAGTAATGGTTGGCTTACATGTGGTTTGTTAAATTAGTGCGGGTTCAAATCCCCTGTATGTGCGAGCGACTGTACTCAGACAGGAAGCTCTTGTTGTAAATGTGCATTATTACTTGTTGGCATTAGTTATGTAATGCTAATCACAGTTCCCAGCTGCCAAATCTGAGATTTTCTGTCTGATTTCTCCTTCTATATATATTAGGGGTTAAACGGTGTACACAAAAATAATGGCTTGATAATAGTCACGGTTTGGTGTTTTAGGTACAGCAGGGGAGAAACAGTGCTTTAGTGAACAAACTATGTTTCTGTCTTTAAATATTAAAGTCTGTCAATACTGCTGCAAATGGCTGCAAAACACTCTTCCTGTTGCGATTTAATGTTTTTTTCAGGAAAAGAATTGAAGTGCTTCCAAATTTGGATGCAAAATATTTTTGCATAATGTATATTTTAGTCAGAATTCTTGCAGCCCCATTCTAATGCGCACAAGTGTTGTGCCTAATTTCAACTCCTTGCAAATAAATTATTAGCCCTTGTTGAAGCCTCTATTTAATTGCCTAATCCTAAACCTACCTATACTGGGGATTTACGTCAGAAGTCAGGACGACACCAGTGTCGTGGCGAATTCTGACCCCTGCCAGATTATTACCCCCCTGAGTTCCCATAGCGGGCTCAACGAGGGGTCTAACAGTTTGGAAGAGTGTACAATTTGGCACAAAACCGCCACTCATTCAGCAAAGTCTGTGGAGATTAATGGAGACTTGTTTTGCATTTTGCAAAATTGAAATACTGGCGTGAATTTCATACATTTACAGATATGGATGCAACTTTCCCACCCAAAGTGTGAAACTCAAATGACATTTTGCATACAGTAAAATTCTGCATTAAAACAACGCCGCATCAACGTTACACCCCTAATATATATATATTTTAATAAGTTTTTTTATTTTCCTATTTTTTTATGTATTTGTGATCTTTAAAATAATTATATAAATAGATACGTTTTCACATATATAATTAGATTTGATTAGATCATGCTTTTATGTTTTTGCTGTTGCTCTTGCTCAGTAAATTGTGACAGATTTTATACACTATAATATTTCTGATGTCCTCTGGCTCAGTAGATATACTGGTGACTCATTTTGTATCACATTTAAAGCTGGTTTCTTGTGTAGAAAAACTCAAAAAAGGTGTTAAAAGCTAAAACACGTATGTACGAGTCATGTTCAGTACAATTTGTTATGTTCAGTGTTACAGACTCATGCATCATTCATTCGTTAACCTTAAAGTTGTTGTGTAGGACCTTTAATCACAACACTTTTTACGTAATAATGTGTGACTGCATTTCCCTGAAGGTTCTGTCACAGTTGTTGTGAAACAGCGGCCCTGTGGTTATGGCGGAGCGCCGGTGTGGGTGATGGAGGAGGCCTTGGTGTTGTCATAATGGATGGAGCTTCAAGCTTTCAGCTTGAGACTTTTTTTGGACCTGAAATGAAACAAACGGCAGACGGTTAAACAGACACTAAATAGAGGAAGTCTAGATGTGACCATAAGAGTTACATTTAACAATCCCACCTGTGTTATTCTGCCACCGCTACACCTGCACAGTTATCTTTACTCTCCGAGGTTATAGCTAAATGTTCCGCCCTAAGAGAATAGGAAGGATGGAAAGAAGGCAGAAAAGGAAAGGTAATGAAGAAAAGAACAGCAACAAGAACTTCAAAAGTTATGAGAACAGCAGTTCGCAGAAAAATGTAGATCCTCTGGGGATTGTGGGAAATATAGATTTGAAGGAAGAAAAGCAGTAGAAACTAATAAAAGACAGGCGGAAATGTAATTGTCTTCTATTTAACGCTGGCTGTCAAAAGTTTGGAATAATTTTATATTTTTTTTAAACATTTTTGAACTGTTTATTTGATCATTAGTCTTTGGTGTGTCATTATCCTTCAGAAATCATTGTATAATTTCTCTAGAGACAGACTCCAGAAAGTTCAAAAGGCCCGCATTTATTTGAAATAGAATCAATTTAATGCGTCTAGTCAAACGTTTAAATGGTAGTGTATAAGTTTACACAAAAATATAAACAGTAACGCTGTTTTCAATATTGATTATAATGTTATTGATAATATTTCACAATATTACTGTTTTCACTATATTTTTGATCAAATAAGCCATGGTGAGCATAAGAGACTTAACTCAAAACCTTAATTATTCCAAACTTTTGACACAAATGTATTAAATAAAGATCCCATAAAATTGAAGTTGAAGTTTTTTAGTGCATGTTTGTTTGCTTTGAATCCAACTTTATGCTAATGCATTCCCGATAGAGTTCAGCTCATCTTCCACTCATGGAAGATTTGGGAGGATACAAATACGCCCTTCAGTATATTTTGCCCCAAATTTCCTGTTTTAATAGGACATCCTTAATGGTCCCTAATGAGGTAGACAGGTGTTTGTAATCAAGTAAGAGCAAACCGCGAGGAAGTGTTTAGAAAATGGAAACACGACTCACTCGCTCTCTCTCAGCGCTTCCTCTCCCGCTGCTGCGATCTTCCTGTAACAATAGACCATCTCCACCAACAGCCATAACTGCAGCCCGATGATAGACACGTACATCATGACCTCAGATAAGATGGACGCCGTGCCTCGTGTAGCTAGGGGTAAGTGAGATCAAATTCAGTAGAGTTCAGTCTTTCATAACTTTCACATTTCCATATAATCCTTAACACCTGATCTTATTAGACTTATTCTGAATTACTACTCTTAAAATCATGTTAGTTTAGTTTAATTAAGTTTAAAGTACGTTCTGAACATATTTGTGCAGGTTTCAGTACTCGGAGTCAGTATTTTTGTAAGACAGACACATCTGTAGTGACATCAGTGCTGATGTAGGCCTGACTCAGACTCTGGCAGGAAGTAAAGACGCATCTGATTGAATTATCACCGTCAGCATATGTGACAAGACGGCTTCTGTCCCAGTGGACAGACAAGTTCTCAGCAGAAGCGTCAAGCCGAACATGTGGCCCGTCAGATTCCTCAGAAGTTGATTTTGAGTGTAACTTCCAACAAAAAATTGCGATTTGATCAATTTACATTGTATTGAAGGGGGAAAGTGTTTGTTAAAAATACTCTACACTTTTCCCTCATAAACTACAAAAGGAGATTTTGCCTTGTAATCACTGGCTGTCGAAATGTTTATAATTGTATACATATTACAAATCCACATATAACTATGTGGATTTGTCATTTTTATTAGTTTTTCAATGTTTACAGTATTTTTTTATTTTTTTTTCAGTTGTAGTAGCTTCACTATTTCAACAAACATTTGATTTTTGATAAGTTTTTCATAAATTTGTATTTTATTTTATCTCAGCTTAATTTTAATTGACAAAAAATGATATATAATAGTTTTATTTATCAAAAACAACACTGTTGACTACTTGAAAAATGGAACCTGATCAGCATCTTTAGTAATTTGTAATTTACGTTTTGATTATTCTGTTTCCTGTTTCCCTCCTGTCATGTTTTATCTTGCCTAGAGCCAGGGCTGGCAAAAATAAGAAACACTTTTCCTCATATAACACACTATGATTAAATACTGCATATATATATATATATATATATATATATATATATATATATATATATATATATATATATATACATATACATTTTTTTTTTTTAAAAGTCAAATAAAATCATGCATTAGATTCTTAAACATCCTTGCTTTCAAAACACAAAGCATTTGATGAGTCAAGGACACAGATAATGAAAGCCCTGGTGCTGCTGCTATGAAAACACTTTGCTTTCAGGGCCATGAAAAGGCAATGACAGTGTCCTTGCTTTTGACATTTTAAAGGCATTTCTATTCAGTGTTGACTCACCTGTCTTCATGAACACGCTTGTGTTTCTTGGCTGCATTGCAGAGGATTGAATGTGTTCTATCAGGCATTGATGTTATAACCCTCTATAACTCTGATTTGTGCCTGCATAATACATTTCAAAACCTGTCCTGTTTGCATTTGTTTCCTCTCCTGTAAATTACATACCATGGCCCACTACGTTGAGGGCGATAAACTTGATGGTGGTGGTGCGGTACTCATAATAGGGGAAGATGAGCATGCGGTCGAAAAGGCATCGATAGGTGCCGGTGTCGTTGAAGGTGACGTTGAGGATGTAAATTGAGCCGTCTTCCACATCATCAGTTTTTTTACTGCCACCCCAGGCCAGGCGGTCATCGAAGTGGTCATCCAGTATGTAGCTTGACATTTCTGCATAACTGTAGATCTAATTGTAAGAAATAAGAGTGAGACCTCTATGGCAAATAACCAGTGTGAAGTACACAATATTTGATTCAGTACTCAAAACAACCTTTTTGTTATTCTCTAATATTTTGTCTTTAAATAGCTGTTAAAAGATATACAGTCAGTGATTGACTGTTGTCATTGTCTGTATTTTGCTCAACACTGCTCCCTGTCTACAGAAGAGAACTATGACTGTCATGCAAAAGCTGTAAATGCCATGTAATTTTCAATTTTGGGTTTTCCAAATTCAATGCAATGAGTAAAATCTATAGGAAATTTTTTAAAAAGGGTTTTGAGTTTTAGTCTGGTTTAAATCAGTTCATAGGCTAGATTTTGGTCTTAGTAGAGTCAAATCTGCCACGAGCCACAGTGATAACATAATTGCTGTTGGACACTAATAAGTATAATCGAATACATTTGACATTTACACCTTATTACATTTAAATATTGATTGTACAAATCCTTATCTTGTATGAATATCTGGAGAGGTCATGGAAATGAATTCCCACAAAAGTGTAGGAAATTGCAGGACACAGTTATGCTGTGTGCATTACTTTAAATACGCCAATAATTTCACATTTTAATAGAATTATTAAAAAATTAATAAAAATATATTCTTTCATTCTTACATAACAAATATAATTCTAGTAATATTCAATGCTAAACTATCTCACACAAAGGACTATGGCATAATACGCAAAGAAGCTTGTGTGTAACGCCTATTTGGTAATATAACTAGTAGTTCTAATGGCAGAGGACTTCTTTACCCTCCTCGTAAACACACTCAAAGTAAAGTGTTCTGTAATGTGCAGTAATTCACTTCTGGCCACTAAGATGGTCATAAATAAAGCATGATATTGTCCTTGCATGAAAAATGCAGCATTCTCAAATATGCTTTGGGGTTTGGATGTTTTATTTTACCATAATAGTCAATTATGAAATAATTAAGTTGCATTGATTCCTGTGTGCATGTCAGTACGCACCCACACAGCTGTGCTAGAAATTTTGTGCGTGTAAAAAGGCATCAGCACATTAATTTAGGTAATGCGTTGCACGGAGGGAGCAGCATCTGTGTCTCTCAAACACGTGAAGTCAAACTGTAAAGTCTGGTGTTTGGTCTCATACTCACATGTGTAAATTCACTCTCGCCTTTGGCCATGAACCACCAGTCCACTGTGGCAGAGGCCGGCACTTCCCCTCTCATCTTGCAAGAGATACAGCCCAATTTGAAGCCTTTACCCGCCACTGCCTCCGTGTCAGAGTCCACCTCCACACACGCCCCATGGCAGAGCCAAGCTAGGAAGAGGAAGACATTCAGTGACAGAAACATAGACACATCTGCTTCAGTTCGTAAAATGCTCTATTAAGTCTTACTGATGCCCACTTTTTTGTTTTGAACTGACAGGCATTAGTACGTTTAAATCTTATGTAATTTTTTTTTCCTTTTGCATGCAAAAGGGGGAGGGGATTATGCATGATGGCATTTTTAGTTCAAGGCAGAGCATTTTCTTGCAAGCTTTATTTCCACTCATAACTGATTGTGCAGTTGAAATATTCCTAATTAACTGTGCATCTCAGACCACAGTATTTGCTTAAATGTTGTTGTTTTTTTGTCTTCAAAATTCTTTGAGGGGAAATAAATAGTTTGTTGTGAACTGTGATCCTTTTTGAGTCATTAATCTACTTTCATATATAGATGCAAGTCTCTATATATGCCTAGAAGTCGCAAACACTTGCAGAAAGGAACACACCTGATATTCCAAGTATCTTTCTCTCACACTTCACCCTGCTGTTCCCACAGAGACATCTGCATCGCTCTCAACCAATGATCTTTTTGCAATTCTGACCTCTGGAGAAGTGTTTATATACGTGCAATGAGATGAGAGACAAGAAACATTGCACACACATCAATAACAGCTACAGCTTTACATTATTGACTACAGTCGTCCTGCATTTCGATTTTGTACAGGCATCTCTTTACTGTAATATTCAGGAAAACAACATTTATAATTTGCTTTTGATTGCTAAGACAAAAGGAGGAAGGATGAAAAAGTAAAAATTGGTGCCACCCCAACTGGAAGACAAGAGAAGGAAGAAAACAAGGGAAACAGAGTTAAACGTTTTCAGTGTTACATCCATCACATCACTAATTATAATTGAAATTGACAGATTATTGATTTGTTGGCTGCGGAGAGGAAGAGAAAGGGTAGATTGGAGAGGGAAAACAATGATCAATACAGAAGTACTACAGTTTCAGAGGAAAGGGGAGGAAGGGTCTAATAATCACATCATGCTGACACATTCCTAAAACAGGCTAATTATTAAGCAAGCCAATAAATTCTATACTATGTCTAATTAAAAACATTAAACTAATCATTTTAATGAGGCATCACAACTTTGGAATGTACAGTATGACAATGGATGAGATTCGCTTAAGATTCCATTGAACGGTGTTATTATTGTCTTTAACTATTATCTTTAAAGTCGTGATGAAATGTAAGTAGTGTCAAATCTGTTATTTTACTTTGATTTGTGCATCCGAGTGTAACGGATTATTAAAAAAGAAAAAATGTAGGACAGGGACTGGGTTCTATGCATCGGTTGATTGGCATACTTCACAATAAGACTAATTTACAATTTGAATTTTGATTTCATGCCGACTTTTAGTGACAGCAAAGAAGATCTGGGGATTTTTTTCTGGGGACATCAAAGGACACTATAAAGGGTGGGAGGAAAGGAGACATCTCCCTTTCCCTTTAAAAGCCAAGGAGGGACAGTATGTACGCAATAAGCTGACCTCAGACATGTCAAAAACTGCCGACTAAACTTCAGTCAGTGTCACTGCGGGGGCAGGGTCATTACATAACCAATTTTCACAGAGATTACATTATGCAACTTATTCCAGATAAGACTGCACAATGCCCGCTTAATCCCAGGATTGAATTAATGCGCTAAAAAGTAGAATTAAACAATTTTTACAATTGCTTTTTTGGACGGAAGCGCTTTTATCCAAAGCAATTTGCATTGCATTCAAGGTAAACATTTAATCAGTTATACATTTCTTGGGAATTGAACCCATGACCTTGATTTCTTTGCACCATGTTCTACTGTTTGAGCAACAGGAACACTGTGGTGCAATGAGAGATTCAAGGAAAGAGAAGAAAAAGCCTTTTGAGAGCTGATTCAGGCTTTCTACGTGTAAACAAGAAGGCGAGGACAGTCTCAAACTGTATAGCAGTGACATACACTCTGGCATATACACTCTGGCCTCTCGGGAAATGGCAAAGATCTGTGACGAACACTGAGCTCCAGGGTGGAGACTTTCCATAGAAACAAAAGCTCTTTGATACATCGCCCAATATGTGGCATGATGTTGGCCAGCATTTTAGTCACTGTGATCTAACAATCGTCCTGTTGAACCCACATATTCTCATCCCCGTCCACCCGTCTTTAATCTAATCTCTAAGATTAATCTACAATGAACGATATTGTTGTCGAGGGTAAATGGCAAACGCCAGTGATATTTCCCCAGGCAACCAGATCTAAAGACAAAGCCTCTTATTTTTTAGCCTTAAGACACTGGGATTCTCACAATCGGTTCTTGATGCTGGGATAACGAGTGTGCTGCAATTGCCATAAAGAATAACCAGCAAGAGACAGTCCTTCATATAATATGTCCCTCCCTGTTCACCCTTGCCCAGATTTAGCATTCACGCGCTCTCCGTCCTCCCCCATCGTCTCATCCTCTTTCCGACACGGAGACACACGCACTCAGACACACCTTTCCCCACATGCACATCAGTTTTCCACAGTGCCAGACCTGTACGTGCATGAAACCTGCGAGACTGCTTTCTGAAGGAGCATGACTGTGCTGGATTTGCTGAAAATCTGCTGAGAATACAAAGCCCTTGCTCCTCATTGGTTTGCCTGTTTCTAGGCCACTGTTTTCAACCTCTGTTAAACTATTAATCGCCATCTTCCTTCTCCCCTGAGCCTTTCTAGGCTGTACAAATAGGTCTAATCAGCAAAATAGCCTCAGCGGTGCTGTCTTGACTGTTGGCCAGCAGATCCATCATAGATTGCGTGATCAGCAAGACATACTTGTTAAATCATATTAAAATATATTTGGCTTTTCTTTCTTTTCTTTTTTTTTCATATGGTTTTGTCACAGTAGTGTTTTATGTATTCAGTTTCTTCACTGTAATCTTTAATTGCCTTAGAGTCACTAATTGCTCATACGTGTTTGTAATTATCATTTTGGTGCATCTCGATGAACAATGCAGGTTGATATAATTATTTTCATAAATAATAAATTCATAAAAAAAATAATTGACATGTTTCAATTCTATAATATTTTTTGTCTAAATAAAAAATGCAAAAAATTAAAAATATTTTTTGCATATAATTTTATTTATTCATCAAGATGCATTTAAATTCGACTCGATATGATATGATAAGCTGATAATTATTTCCACAAATAATAAATTACCTGTATTACATTTCTACACTGTCTATATATACACTCACCGGCCACTTTATTAGGTACCCCATGCTAGTAACGGGTTGGACCCCCTTTTGCCTTCAGAACTGCCTCAATTCTTCGTGGCATAGATTCAACAAGGTGCTGGAAGCATTCCTCAGGGAGTTTGGTCCATATTGACATGATGGCATCACACAGTTGCCGCAGATTTGTCGGCTGCACATCCATGATGCGAATCTCCCGTTCCACCACATCCCAAAGATGCTCTATTGGGTTGAGATCTGGTGACTGTGGAGGCCATTTTAGTACAGTGAACTCATTGTCATGTTCAAGAAACCAATTTGAAATGATTAGAGCTTTGTGACATGGTGGAAGTAGCCATCAGAGGATGGGTACATGGTGGCCATAAAGGGATGGACATGGTCAGAAACAATGCTCAGGTAGGCCGTGGCATTTAAACGATGCCCAATTGGCACTAAGGGGCCTAAAGTGTGCCAGGAAAACATCCCCCACACCATTACACCACCACCACCAGCCTGCACAGTGGTAACAAGGCATGATGGTTCCATGTTCTCATTCTGTTTACGCCAAATTCTGACTCTAACATCTGAATGTCTCAACAGAAATCGAGACTCATCAGACCAGGCAACATTTTTCCAGTCTTCAACTGTTCAATTTTGGTGAGCTCTTGCAAATTGTAGCCTCTTTTTCCTATTTGTAGTGGAGATGAGTGGTACCCGGTGGAGTCTTCTGCTGTTGTAGCCCATCCGCCTCAAGGTTGTGCGTGTTGTGGCTTCACAAATGCTTTGCTGCATACCTCGGTTGTAACGAGTGGTTATTTCAGTCACTGTTGCCCTTCTATCAGCTCGAACCAGTCTGGCCATTCTCCTCTGACCTCTGGCATCAACAAGGCATTTCCGCCCACAGACCTGCCGCTCACTGGATGTTTTTTCTTTTTCGGACCATTCTCTGTAAACCCTAGAGATGGTTGTGCGTGAAAATCCCAGTAGATTAGCAGTTTCTGAAATACTCAGACCAGCCCTTCTGGCACCAACAATCATGCCACGTTCAAAGTCACTCAAATCAACTTTCTTCCCCATACTGATGCTCGGTTTGAACTGCAGGAGATTGTCTTGACCATGTCTACATGCCTAAATGCACTGAGTTGCCGCCATGTGATTGGCTGCTTAGAAATTAAGTGTTAACGAGCAGTTGGACAGGTGTACCTAATAAAGTGGCCGGTGAGTGTGTATATATATATATATATATACACACACACTAAAATATAATATATAAAAAACTAAAAAACAAATTAATTTAGGTGTCAAATGTTTTAATGTACAGTATGAAAAATGGATATTCATTTTGAGATTTTACATTTATCAGTGTTATTAAATTAATGTCTTTATAGGTTGACTGGCAGTTTAACTATAGTTTAATTAGTTTAAATGAGCATTAGATGATGAAAAAAGTCATCTAAATGTCAGAATAGATCCAAACCAACAATATTTCAATAACCCACATTTCAATATTCAACATATACCATAAAAAAACTAACGCAGGCATATATGGCATTAGTATAGTTTGCAATTTGCATCCTTATTAGAAACTACAATAGCATTGCAGATCTCACTTGCTCTGTGAACGTATTTCAATCGAGACTATTTTCTGCCAATGTTTCTTAGCAGCATCCACCTCCCACTGCTTAACTCCACATTTCCTTGAGAACTACTGAACACTCGCTGCCAGCTAATCAATCATCAGTGTTCACAAACATGCGTACATCTAACAAACATACATTAACAACCACAGCACTGTCCAGCACTAAGCCAGACGGTCTAAACTTACACTAATGGCACTCCTGGAGTATTGTGTACTGTTTAGGATATGATACAGCAGTTAAACAGCCAGTGAAACTCGCACAGTATGTGTCTGCTAAGATCGGTGGAGACTCGCACAGTGTGAGCAGTGATAATGTGATAATATCATGTCCTGATTTATTAGTCTTCATCACAATCCGGATGCTGTAACACAGTACAACTCTAAAAAATGTAATTCACAGCAACATAAGATATCCACTCTCAAGTCACTTTTGTCGTAGCAAGAAAGCGGTGTACTTTCTCTTAAAGGTGACCTATAATTCAAAATTGAATTTACCTTGGTATAGTCAAATAACAAGAGTTCAGTGCATGGACATGACATAGAGTGAATCTCAAACTGGACTGTTTTCGCGTTTGCATTTAATTCACGTTTATGAAAAACACCCCTGAAAAACGGTCGGTTCTCCACACAATACCGACTGTGACGCAATAGTCGGGATCATTAATATGTACGCCTCCAAATATTTGCATAATGCCAGCCCTCAATGCCAGGCGGAACTGCGCAGCCGAAGCATGGCAGTTGCTCAGTGTGGATGTACACATGAACACAAAAGTATTTTTTAGTTCCTTCATCTGAGCCTCTGAAGAAACAATGGGTTAATTTTATTTTCTCTGGAAATTTCCAAACATTTCACCGACTGTTTCCTCAACTTGGGCCAATACAGAGCTGGCCTCGGATCGAGCTACCAAGCAACACTTTCTGATGTTTAATTGTTCAAGTTCAGACAGGTAATCTTTCTCTCAACATCGTTCAATACTGTTTATCCATCAGTAAGTCAAGCCAGTGACTAAAATATCAGCTTCACATCGTTTCTTTTAGTAGGATGAAAATAATCGTATTTAAATTGTGAATAAATTATATACAGAAAGCGATCAAAGAACAATCTTTCCACACAGCGCGAGTTTATCTGGACACTTGGCAAACTCGTTATGAAATCAATGACGCAAGTTACTGCACAACGAAGCTCTTACTGTATTTACATCATCGTGTTTGCATTGGTGAAAGCCTTAGAGAGAGTGCAGAAACTGCTTTGCAATGATAAGATCTTCATTCTCGCGATCAACACACTGTCATCTGCTCAATGCTCATCACGGCAACATTTTATGTGATAGGAATAGATCTAAATACTTTAAAAACATCTCACGATTCGTTAATCTCGATAGCTGTTATAGTAAAAACGTATAATAGCAGTAGTAAAAGTATTCGGGAGAGAGTTTCACATGTAATGCGTAGCTATTTCATATGCAAGCATGTCAGCCAATCACAGCAGTGGCCGGCTACACTGAATCCCACAGCAGACACGCCCCTTCAAACAGAGTGTTCAAATCAGAGGCTAAAAGCAGGCTAGGAAAAATGCCATTTATTTCTAAATTATGATTATTTTTTATCTAAAAAACATACTAACATTATGAGGGTAACCCAGGAAACATTATAAAATAAAAAATAAAAACATTCTAGGGCACCTTTAATTAACTACACAAATATACAGCAAGGTTTTTAACTCTACTTCTAGAAAATAAAGAACAAAGAATGTGCATCAGGTGTGTTTTGCTTTATGTTGTTCATTAACGTAGGAAGCCACTGTAAACTTTGTTACTTATTATATTGTTATATTACAATGCTATCATATTTTCCATGGTAAAAATAACAGCAAATGGATTTGGAATATCAATGGATGGACTGTTCCTTTAAGGCTCAGCAATGGGAAGGTCATCATGATAAGCCATTACCGTTGTGCCCTTGAAAAAGGCATTTAACCTCAAGGGGGAATGTTGCTGTAATACGTTTGTAGTGCCATTATATGGTGACGTTGCCACTAAATGCTAGGAATAATTGTCACACGGTCAGGGCCGGTGTAAATTTGATCAAATCAGAGATTGTAGTTTGAACATTCTGAGAGTGTATAATACAAGGAGATAGGCGAACACAGGGAACTCTCTTTCTGTCTCACGCTTTCATATTCTCACACATCTTTCTGTCCATCTGCCTTTGCTCACTCCTACGTTTCATCTCCAATAAAATGTTTCATCTGAATAAAAACATTTCCTTAAAGCCCCTTTTCCTTGGTGATTCTGTGAGATTAATTACTGTACCAAAGAGGTGTTACACAAGTTGCATAACAGTTCTCCTTTTGAGCTTTCTCCTTTTCTTATTTGAACCTTCTCCAACAATTTTACTCCTTCCCTAGTATTAAGGAAATATGAAGCAATAGCGATTACATTTTTAAGAGTGAGTTTCTCTGGATAAGAGGGTCTGCTAAATGCTTTGAATAGTAATCTAGATGAGCAATTTAGTGTAATAAAGTGCAGTTCATCTTACTTTTTTTTTCAGCAGACACAAACTTACAAAAGTGACTTAAAAAGTGTGTGTCATTTAGTTACAATACTTCAAGAGAATTAGCATATGAAATAATAAAGACTAGCATAGGCATAGTAAAACATTTTAACATTTAAGCAGCTGATAACTGGTCGGTTTACATAACCTGCTAGTACAGGATATACTGAACACATATCCTCATAATGGGCGTCCCGACACGACACGAGGAGAGATACAAATCCTCACTGCGTAAACTAGGACATCTATCACTGAGGCATAATTGACAACACCTGTTCCCCGGGGAGCGGTTTATTTCCATCACTTCCCTTCTTACAGTCACTCACAGACGAAAGATTTTCAGGCTATGAACAAAGTACCGACAGCCACATATTTTGAACACCCTCCATAAAACCTAGTATTCAAGAATCACAACACAAAACAGAGAATTCACGACCTACTGGAAGATAATAACAGCTTGTAACAGAAGCAACCGAGCTTGGACAAGAGCTATATTTCTGTCTGGACCACCCCGATCACCCATGACTCCATTTTAGCATCAACACATGCTCTACTAAAAGTGACAGCTGGTTTGGGTTTTTACTCAACAATCCAGGAACCCCAAAACCCATAAACTCAACCACTTTGAGCTAAGACTCAATAAACAAAAAACAAAGGCATACTATTACTGGACCAGTGATAAATGACCCCAGCTGAATGAATGGTGCCCAGGTGTCATTAAAGCAATTTATCACTTCAGTTGCATTATATTTTTAATATAACATCTAATAATTCATTACAAAAATCTCAAGAATACATGAGCTATTTCTTGTGATAACGATAAAGTGATTTATATATAATATATATATTATATTATTTATATTTTATAATATACATAATTATTTTAATGTATAGTGTGTGTATATATTTACTATATATATATTAAATTATACTATTTACTGTGTATATATAGTAAACAGTATATTAAAAATGTATATACAAACACACGCAATATATAAAATAGAAATATAAAATTAAAAATATATAAATAATAATAATAAATGCGTATTTTATATAATGTATACTGTGTAAATTGGAATTATCTTTATTATAGTGTATAGTGTTATAGTATCTATCTACTATCTATTCAAAACACTTTAAATACTATAAAAATACTAATAAAAAACGCATGAGAGCAGCAGATACAATTTAGCTTGAAAGCGGATTCCTGCTTTACATGTACCTGCAGCTTTATCATGCCCTGACTAACACAGACAGACACAGATAAAGGGTGTGAGGCTTGAAATGTGTCTCAAATGTTTCAAAGTGCACTTAAGAGACTCACCGTGTGTTGTTAAACACAACAGCACAGGGACCCACAGAAGTCGCACTGCAGACATCTTCACAGATGATAGCCGCTGCTTTCAGAGTCGTGCTTCTGTCTTTCACACACAGACACACACACACACGCATGCAAACACACACACACAGACCCAAAACAGGCTCAAACTGAAGAGCAGGAGGTCTCGGCAAGTAGTCCACAATGAGACAGGAGCTCTGTGAAGGAAATGTGTCCCCTGGATCTGTGAATAGATGAGCTTGCCAGTGTGGAAAACAGATGATGTTTTCCTCCTGTCCTTCCTGTCGGGTGGGAGATGAGTGTTTTGATGAGGAGCAAGGGAGTCCAGTGAGGGAGTATCAGAGATGTGACGCCCGCCCTCTGTGCAGTAAATCGATCCAACAAGTCCAGAGTATTCAGTTACTCCATGAAAGAAAAAAGAGCTGAGATGCCACACTCGAGTTTCAGTCAGTAACGGTTCTTCTTGACCTAATTATTTGTTAGCCAGTACTTACTTAATAATGATATTAATACACTTTTTTAAGTGATTAAATGTTCTGATGAATATCTGATCCGATTTCTAAAATATAGAGATATTCACTAAACAACAAAGTGTTCTTGTTTTCTTGACAGTGGAAGACTTGGAGCTGAGGTTGTGATTAGTTTTGAATGAGAATTGTATCCAGATAATGGAAGACAAGTGATATTAACTAAGAGTTTTGTGTTACATTTACATTAAACATCAGTTGACTGATTTAACCTGAGAAGAAAAAAAACATTTGAAGTGATCCAATCTTTGACACAATGAGTTTAAAATGGACAATGGATCTCCTTAATGATTATTCAGACATTCCTTCTACACTAAATTATATTTATTGCTTATGTATTTTGTGAATTATTGCTTATGTTAATGAGTGAATGAGAGGATATATCTCTTAGGATCTTGATCTTAACTTGAAGTTATAGGCGTTTTAGTCAATTATGAATAGGAATGATCAGCTAAATGTATGAAATTAGGTTATTTAGCCTACATTGCACTGTAGGCCTACATAAAACATCAACAATAGGTTAGTAGGCTGCCTATTCAATAGCTACTTGGTTTAATGTTTGTCTTTCTCTCATTTAAATAAATACATGTGAAGTCGCTAACACATGCAGTAAATGTTTACTATGACTGGATGAAGTTACTATGCTCATGCCATCTGTTATTTTTGCCAAAGCGTCTGTATTTCCAAATGTCAAACATCAAGGCATATAACAGCGCGTAATGATCACCAAAATAATGCTAATAATACATCATTCATGGGTCTACATTACATATAAATGAATTAAAGATAATTTCAAATACACTCCCTTTAGTCTTTTGAACAATATCAGTGGGTACAACGTTGCCCTTTTTCTTATTATCGGCTGATGCAAATGCCAACAACGTCGATGGTTGGTGTTTCCCCTGTCAACAATAATAAACGTGACCTTAGGGTGGTTTTGAGGTTTGAATATCTCTCAGCCTACCGTTTCCGATTACCACATAGTCAAAACAACATTTCTTCCCCACGTTTAGTCTTCATTCAGCTGGTTACGATCCCGAAAAAACGGCTTCTCTGTGGATGAAGTCGCTTCGCTCGCGCGGTTAAATCAATCCGTTGGTCACGTCACGCGGGGTGTTTCAGGGTCACGGAAATTAACCAGATTGTGCTGCCGTTCCTGCATAAATGTTCGGTCTTGAAATTATGACATGCACAAAATAATCCGTTTGGACCGGAGCATCACACGTTAAGCCCAAACGTGGTGCGTTCATTGACTATATCTGCTGTATAGGGAAGATGCTGCGTTTGGGATAGCCTAGGCGAGGAGGGACTTGGAGGTGAGCAGGGATGGGGGAGGGATATGCAGATGCATTGCAGTGGGATAAGTGGGATGGATAGAAAGCATGATTTCTGGGGGTTATAATTTCAAGTTAACCCAAATAGATGGTTCATCGTCCTTACGTTCATTCATTCGGACGCGCAGTAGCCTACTGAAACGTGACGCGCGATGCAAGGCGCGTCTTATCTTAAATCATTAGTAGGCCTAGCCTAGGCTATCGGATCATTCGAGAACAGATTGTTTCTGGAGTCTAGAAATTTGGGAGCAGTCTCACGTTGATATGAAGCAGCATCTCTGCCCAAAATCAATCAGACACACATTTTACATTGTTATAAAAAAAATATCCAAAATCAAGCTTCCCATCAAGCTTTTAAAGGGGGGCATTGTGAAGTGGTCCATATAACATGTACACTCTACTTCAAGTCGTGAAGGGGATATTCTAAAACGCATAACGTGGCTTAATGTAGGCTCCTATTAACAGCGACACTAAAATACCAAATTCAGTAGCTACAGACCATTGATGATGCATTGCATAGGCTACTAGGCTACAGGCAACCAGATGCGCCCAGAATGCAACACGTTTTAGAATGGCCTTTCTGAAACCAGAAGAAACAGACCGATTCAGCAAAAATCCAGTCTGTGAAATCGAGAACCAGTCCAGATTAGAGAACGAATCATTCGAACCGGTTTTGTTTGTTTGTGAATTGGATCCGAGTTATGAAAAGATTCAACATTTAACCCTTAAGAACCCGCTGTGACGTGGGTGTCACAAACACTGGTGATCATCTGAAAAGGTTTTTTTTTAAAGCATTATACCTCACTTTCAACTTAGGAAGTCCCTAAGGGACATTTTAAGGAACACCCGGGTTCAGTCATGTGACAATGTGTGCATTTTTGTTGCCATGGTAACATTTCCAAAATGGTGGTCTGTCTGGTGTGCACATGTTGCAGTGTCAGCAATTTTTAAAAACACTTGTTTTTGTTATTAAAGGTATGTTTCAACCCATGCAACAATTCTAATGTTTTAATAACATAACCTAGATTACACTTGACCTGATTTTAAAACATGTCTTGTACAAATTGATATAAAACAGGTTTTGAAAATGTTGTGGTGACATATGCGTCACATCGGGCTTTTAACCTTAAAACAGTAGGTGGAATTTTGATGTGACGTATGTGTCACATTAAGAAAAATGGTAATGACCTGCTCAAATAATTCAGCTGATTCAATTATTTTAGTGTTATATATATTCTGCTGCTCAATTCAAAGCATATTTTAACATATGTAAAAAAAAAAAAAAAAAGTCAAATTAATAAAGGGTAACTAAACCCCTGGTCAGAGCCTGACTCCACCCACTGGCAATATTTGAAAAATGCTGTAAAAGTGGGCAGAGGCCAGCGGAGGGGGGGGGGGGGGGCGTACACCTGAGACAGGTCTCTCTGTGGGCAGGGGTGTGGTTAGCTTGTGCCTGCTTACATCACAGGGCACCACAACGTCCAATAGGAACATTCAACTGCAGTAGCCACCGTTCAACCTGAAGAGGGCAGCACTATATATCGTTTTTACACCATATATTGTAGAATTAAAACACTTTATACCCAAATGTCCAAAAAATTCAATGAACAGCAATAATAAAGCCCCAGTCTTACAGATCATTAACTAAAAAAAGTTGGTTTAGGGTTTACCCTTTAATGAAATGTATTTTGAAAATATTTACCTAATTGTAATCTAATTTACCTGTTTGTAACTAAAACAGGTATGCAACATATGGTATAAAACACCATATTTATTTTTATTCAGTTTGCACATTTTCGAGTTGTGAAAAAATAATAATTTTTTTTATTTCTGGTTAAACCGTATACCTGAAAAGGTAGAATTTTGCTATGTTATTGCACTGCATGCATGTTCAACATGTTGACCTCCAGTGTGAGGTAGTTATTTATTTTTATTCAGTTTGCACATTTTCGAGTTGTGAAAAAATAATCTAAAAAATTATTTCTGATTAAACCGTATACCTGAAAAGGTCACAGTTATGGTCACAGTTATGTGGTTTTGAAATATGTGGCAAAGCAAATAAAATGCAAAAACTATTACTTCTGAAATGTATCTTCCCAGAAAAGTTATAATTTTGAAAATGTTGTGGAAAAGAAAATAAACAGAAGAAAATGTTATTTAGCAAGAAAACTGACAATTTTTTTTTTTTTTTTTTTACAAATGAGACATAAAAGCCCAATGTGACATATATGTAACATTAAAAAATTATCATAAACGCCCAATGTGACATATATGTCACATTACAGATCTTTGACAAGGAGTGGTTGTATTTTTTTTAAAAACTGCAGAAACATGTTTTAAGTGGTCCATTTAGTCTGTTTTATGTGCCCCATAATTTTCCTATAAGGGGAAATTGGTCCGGGTAAACGAATGATTCATTCACGAATCGAACATTACGAGGGTTTTTTTATGAACACTTTATAAACTCGGAAAGAAGAGCATGTTTCGGGAGTTTCGGTGACTAAAATTTTCATCTGTTCCTCACAAAGATATCGTATGCTTTTCGTTTTGCCAGAAGAAATTACAGGTTTGGAACGAGTTTGAGTAAATCCACAGACAGTAATTTCATTTTGGACTGAATTAAAGCCAGTTGTAGCCTAATATCGGTGTTTCACCTCTAGAGGGAGGTACACTTTCATTTATAAGGCGTGAGACACAATTGCAGAGAAATCTAAGGCTACAGTAAGGGAACTGTATCTTGCTTGCGTGCAGTATAAAGGAGTAAGCCTATTCAAAAGAAATATATTTTTAAATATTTTTATATAATTGAATTGCGCTTCCTGGTTAATAGGCTATAAGTCTGAGCTATGATTTTGACAAAACCTCTGTAAAACGCTACCGAAACCGCTTTATTTTTATTTATTTGTTTAGTTTTGCATATGTTTTTTTAGCGAGGTTGACACAATTTTTTATATAACGCTAATACGATTAATACGCTAAAAAACGTATGTGCTCAAGAATGCAAAATGCAAGCATTTTAGGCCAGAATAAAAAAATCAATAAAAGTGTATTCAAATGAACAAATGCATAGAATGTCACGTGTTTGAAGGCACGTGAACTCAAAGGTCCAAGACCTACATTCTATTTTAGATTTTGACATCATAATGGACATTATACATTACAGAGAATCCTGGTGAAAAGACCTTCATTTGGCATCTGACTGTTATTGCCAACTTAATTGCATGTTGTTGAAGAAGAAATCTTCACTCCACCATTAAAGCATGTGTTACAGAGAAAAAAATACTCTCCCGAGTCAGGCACAGCTATGTGTAGTAGGCAAGCAGATTTTCGGCAGATCTTCTGGACCTTCCTTCTTGCCAGAGACTGGACAAAAGAAGTCAGCTTCAGGTGAAAGGCTTCCAGGACGTCGAGGGCCCAGACCTCCTACCTATTTAATGAATGTGGTACAGAGAAACGGCACAGACCCTTCATGTGAGTCTGACCTGAAAGCCAATGCTTCCTTACAACCACCACGCATTCTTCCAAGTCGACCAGTGACGGTGGACAAACAAACGTCTCTGTCTGAAAGCCCTGTTGATGTTTCCACAAACATGCCTGTTCTGGAAGC